ACGCGGCCGGGGTCTCACAAGGGCCGTCTGCGCATCCCCATTTCCAGCTTCGCAGTGACCTGCGGAGCTCTGAGCACACAAGGCTGGTATCCGGAACCCGAGCCTCAGAGTCAGCACATTGAAGGATCTTCCGCGGTGACCAGCTGAACTTGGAGCTGGGGAGATGACGCCCTGTCCGGCCTGGCGCTCCGAGGCTCCGGAGGGAGGATCGGGGTACACCAGCAGAGCTCCATCCAGCTTGCTCTGAATTATGTTGTCGGCCACCAAGCACAAAAAATGCCAGCACATCAGCATTAGACCAAGATGTTGTCAGTATTGTTTTTAAAATCTTTAAAATAAGTCCAGCCACTGCTCCAGTCCGAGAAATTGCAAATGGCGGATTAGTGTTTTGAAAAGTTTCTGAAGGATCCAGTGACTCCGCCCCCGACTCCGCCCCCGACCAATCAGTGACCGACAATGTTCTGACGTCACGTTTTAGTGCCTCTTCGTTCCGGTTAGAACCACAGAGCCAAGGGTACTGAAAATAGTAACAGGTGCTAAGTACCAGTACTAATGGAAAAGCCTCAGAACCGGGCCAAGTAGGGTCCAGTCGGCCCGTACCGGTACTAATGGAAAAGGGGCATAAGTGCTATAAAAATAAACTGGACTGAATTGAAAAAAGTGAACTAATTTATTTTATTAGTGTCTGTTTGCAGAAGCTGTGACCCGTCCAACAGCTGACCGATACTGAAAACTACCATACCATATACCATTTTATTTATAGAGAACTTAAAACAGCAACAAGGCCAACCAAAGTGCTGTACAGACAGAAAAACAAGCAACACACAAAGCAATATACAAAATGAGGTAAATCAGTATATAGACATAAAAACGATGCAGATAATAAATATGACGACTAACCAGTGTGGAGCATTCAGGTTCAAAACGCAGATCATCTGGTGTTGAAAGCTACTGAATAGTAGTGGGTTTTTAAACGGGACTTGAAAACCGAGAGGGAGGGGGCCTGTCTGACAAGCAGAGGCAACTCGTTCCAAAGTCTTGAGCCTGCTACAGAGAAGGCCCTGTTACCTCTGCGCTTAAGACCAGTTCCTGGAACTGTGAGGAGCAACTGGTCCACTGACCTCAGGGAACGTGGTGGGACATACGGCTGTAGCAGATCAGAGAGATAGGGGATAGGGGAGATAGGGGAAACTAGAGTTTTATATGTGCAGAGTACATAACCCTTTTAGACTGATCTAAAATCTAGTGTACCATTAAAGTGATAGTTCAGCTCTTTGGGCGTGGAGACTGACCAACAGTGACAGCTTATGCCCCTTTTCCACTGTCACGGCGCGGGTCGGATATTTCCGGCTTCATGCGCGTTTGAGGTCTTTCCACTGTTCCTGAAACCGGCTTGCCTCCCTAAATTCTGGCCCGGCTTCTCAAGGGGTCCAAGCGAGCCACGCCGTGACGTCAGAAACACTGTCGGTCACTGATTGGTCGGGGGGAGGATTCTGTGGAGTCTTTCATAACAACCCGATCCACCATTTTTTCTCTACCGCTTGCCATTAGCGATAACTCGAGGAGCGTATCTTTTAGTATTTTGAAGCTATAAAAAAGACTATAATATCAAAGCCGTGGTCAAATGCAGAAGTGCAGGTGTTGTTGTGCTTGGTGGCCGACGAAAAAAGTCAAAGCGAGCTAGATGGAGGATTGGAGGGTGGTTTGGACATGGCCACTGCTCTACTTGAACCATTTATAGAAGATGGTGAGTGTTTTCTAACTTTAAACATATTTTGTTACTCATCCCATCGGTTCTGAACATATTTTTAACTAACAAAAGAGGCTGACGCCATAATAGGACAACATCAGTGCTACAATGCTAAGCTAATTTGCATAAACGCTAACTGTCCTCCGGTCCCGTTTCTCACTGTATTTTATCCAGAACGTATTTCAGCGCGTGACGGTTCATCTCTAAACTCCACATTAAACCCTCCAAGCCTCCCGGATTCTGCTCCTGCTCCATCAGTGGAGTCTGCACCTGACAGAGCTCCATCACAGCCCAGCTGCACCTCACAGAGCAGCACAAAGCTGCAGCTTCTGTGCTCGGTAAGAACAGATGCAACATGTTCCACATCACTTTATTTGTGCCAATAAGGACTTGATTTATTTTATTTTTAAAGTAAAAAAAAAAAAAAATGTTGAATAAATACTGAATTGGGATGAAATTATGTACTTTGTACACAGGGTCCCAGTTACAGACAACAAAATGTAAAAGAAAAACAGTAATAAGATCTAAGATATGAATTAAGAAAAATATCAACTAAAAAACATCTACTAATAATACACTAAGCACTAATAGCAGTAAACAATCAAAACAATACATCAAACAGCAACATGAACTAGAGTTTGTGCAGCCTTATGAATATATAACACTGTGAAGAATCACATCATGTTGCTGCTGATCAGTTTCATGTTGCTGCTCATGTTGCTGTGTTAATGCATGCTCGTCTGTTCACACAGACTCATGTCCGTGCTGCTGTTCGCGTATTGTGTTTAATGTTTTTATGCTATTAGAGCTTATCATATTTTTAGTTGATGTTTTTCTTAGTTCATATCTTTAGATCTTATTACTGTTTTTCTTTTATATTTTATTGTTGGATGTAACTGGGACCCTGTGAACATAATTTTGATCCACCACATGGACCACATGTGGTGCGAATGACAATAAAGAATATCTGCATCTGTATAATACTTTCTGATTCATATATCCATTATTATTATTATATTATTTTCATTATTTTTAAATCAACTTATTTTTCATTTTCTTATTTTATCAGTTTCTTATTATTAATATATCTATTATAGCTGTTAGCAGCACCTTTCTTTGTTTGATGCATTTATTCAAAAACAGTATGTAGCTTGAATTAACCACTTTTTCTTCTTTCTAGTGAAGAGAAAGAGAAAAGAGTCCAGTAAAGAAAAGTCTTATTTCATCACTGAATGAACATGAAGAACTGAAGCGGACACAGCAGGAACAACACTTGTGTCTTCTTCTGGATGAAGCCCGTGAGACAAGGGACAGACAATCATTAGTTGGACGCAGTATTTTTTATTTTTGTACATTTTTCACTTCTTACTTTTCCTATTAAACATTTTTTTTCTTAAGTGGTGTCCTTGAACATTAAATTTCCTAAACAAATTTTACAATGTTAAGTTCAGATAGTGTTTGTTAAAATTCATACTGGAAGTTGAGAAGAATTTCCAATTGCTTTTGATCTTTAATGGATCCTAAGAAAAGATTACCAGAATATGCTCAACTGTTATTATGTTATACATTTTTTGTTCTAGGATGAAGTGAGACAAAAACAGTCAAAAATTCAGAAAAGACAGTTGTCAGTTAACAGTTATCGTTTATCGTCCATAGTCCGAGAGATTCAGCTGAAAGTCCTGGTGCACCTTTTATTTGAACCTGCAGAGATTTGAACAGCTGATCTGAAGCAAACAGGCAGGTGTTCATCCATCCATCCATCCATCCATCCGTCCGTCCATCCATCCATCCATCCATCCATCCATCCGTCCATCCATCATCTTCTGCTTCAGGGTTGTGGGAGCAGCAGCTTCACCAGGGAGGCACAGACATCAACAGCCACCTCTTCAACTCTTCTAGGACCCCATGGTGTTCACAGACCAACTGACTATTTATTAAGTAATATCCTGATGCTGCTCAATAATTTAGGTAGAAAAATCTAAAAAGTTAAGTCTGGTCCTCTGGACATTCACAAAACAAACAATACAGTTTATAATAAATAAACAATAAATGTTTTTTGTTTGTTTTGTTTTTTGAATGTCCAGAGGACCAGACTTAACTTTTTTAGATTAATAAGTAATACATTTATGTTTTTAAATTTAATGAAAGACAAATCTTTAAAATTCAAGGACAAAATTTAATCTAATTGTTTTCAAGTCTGTATCTTATTGTAAAAGCAGTTTCAAAGATTACAGCACAGTGTGATGTTTTGCAATTTTAACATGAACCTTGTGCATATCTGCAAATAATAAAAGTGAAGATATTTTTAATCTTTATTGTAAAAATCTATACTAAAATGAAAAACATGTATTTAAAGCAGGCAGGGAAGGCAGTAAGGTAGGATTATGAATCAGGTTTAAAAGTTACAGCTCATGAGGTACTCCATTAGAGCATGACATCTCTTCCACAACATCGTGTGACAAAGTCTTCAGGGTGTTCTTCTTCTAATACGTTTAGTGGTGGCTAGTAAGTAGCTTAAGGGAGCACTACCGCCACCAGGTGGTAAGACAAGTTGGATTCTAGTCCCCGCCTACAGAGCCGGTCCAGAAATGTACATGGAAACGCAACAGACCCGAGCCGATCTGAACCGACCCGAACTGACCTGATCTGCACTGTGACAGTGGAAAAGGGGCATTAGACCCAGGAACGGGGTCTGGCTGACTGACCTCTGGGTGGGTAACGGTGGGACCCACTCCATCTGGATGCCTCTGTTGATGCTCACCCAAATATCACAAAACTCAAATCTCATGACTCACTCCTGGTCTCGCTGTCTTTATTGCGTGCCAAACTCCATTCAGCTTACGCCTTTTTTCCTCTTCTTTCTGTAGATTTTATGGCACCTGACAAATAACTTCGAGCATACATTAGAAATGAGGTGGGAGGTTGTTTATCTATTCTGCGGGGATGGGAGGTAAAAGTGGAGGGTGATTGGGGGGGGGGGGGGGGGGGGTCCCTGAGACTGTTGTGTAGTTAAAAGGAAAAAAAACATTGGTCAGAGTAGGTGGCACCGGACACTTGAGTAAGCAGTGAAATCGCTGCTACTTCAGAATGTATGACTGAACTATGACTTTTGAAAACTACGGTACTCGTTTATGTAGATTAGATTAGCCTTTGAGTCATACAAATATCAAACCAAATTTAATGAAACAAATAATAAAACGTTTACATGATCTTGAAACTTGAAACACTGAGTGGGTTCTGGAGCACTTACTTTGTGAAAGTAAATATATCCCTGAGTCAGCTCGTCAGCTCCCTCTCCAGAGAAGATCACAACACTGTCGGTCTTTGTTCTGATGTACTTTGATACCAGATACATTCCTGCAACAGAGGAAACAAGTTATTTTCAAATCCTGTGAGCAAAACAAAAACAAAATATAGTAAATAACACTAATCTACATGTCAAAAGCTGTGGTAAATGTTAAAGTTCTCAGTAGCCAAAGAGTTTTTTGAGAATAAACTTAGACATAATACAGTACATCATATTTATTATGACTAGGATTAAATAGAGGTGTTGCTTTGTTATTTAAAGCATTGGTTCTCAAACTGGGTTTTATGTATGTATATCTGTGGATTTTAAGGAGGCATTTATAATTGAATTTATGATAACTGGTTCCTGCGTTTTGGATTCGGCTTGTTCCTGGTCCATCAACAAACAAGGAAGTCGTCGGCAGCAAATCTGGACCTGGTCAGGCTGCCTGCCTTATTTGATGGCTTGGTTCGTGCCTCGAGCACCCAGACTCTTGGCTGGATGGATCAGACCTCGGGGATTATTCTCAGGCACGTTCCATTGGTAAGGTCATTTAATTTGGACGTTTCGGAAGCGAGTGAACCGACACAGACTCAAGGCAGATGTCATTAAAGTTCTGCCTGTCCCCAAAACAATCATGTTTATCTGAATTCGGCTCCCTGACTGGCCTTGACAGGCCATCTTATCTCAACCCGCCTGGAAGTTTTGTAAACTTGATGCTCAGCCCCTCCCTCCCCTCCTACTGAGGAATTTCCATGGACTTTTCAGAGGGGACCAGCTGAAAAAACATTCTGTCATCATTTCAAGGCTCTGGATTTGTCTCTGGTCATCCTCAACACCCCCTGAGCATGCATGGATCTCTCCAGAGGGAACTATTTGAACTGAGTGATTTTTATCTGAACTCTGCAGTGTGTGTTGTCTCTGGCTGCTCACTGCCCTTGCGTTGCTCAAGACAAGTCTAAATGAGGCTCAGTAGTGTGTGTAGGGCTGAGTACCGAACCAAGGTTCTTAAATGGCACCAACCGAATTGCACCGGTCGGTGTATGGATTGAAATGTCACTCTTTTGTCAGTGTCAAGTTTCGGTATTGGCTGTAACGTGTCACGTGGTTTCAGCACGCAGGCAGGTAAAACACCAGACATATGACAAATAGACTACGTGTTTACACCCAGAGATGTATAGAACTGCCATACCTATTCTATGTATAATGTATGTCTATGGTGCTGGTGACACCCACAGACGGGGTTCACGTGTGCAGCGTGTGTGTTGTTGAACGGCTTCAATTTATGAGCAGAAAGTTGCTCTGTGTTTTTCTGCGAGGAGAGAGGAGGACAGCAACCCCCCCCCTCCCCACCCACTCCTCCTCTCAGCATTAAAGTCAGCCTGTGAGTGTTAGAGAGCATGAACGGCCTGATTCATTATCTCCACGACCAGACTCTTCATAAAGAACTCGGAGGACGGAGCTGTGTCTGTGTTTTAGCTGGTAAGTTTATGTTTGTTAACCTTACTGCAGCTTAATACATGCATCGCACAGTGAGTTAAACTAAGATGCATGTAATGCTAACTTTAAGATATTAGTGTGTAAATTTATTTTATGGGTATCTATGTAGCTAGCTAAAATTAGAAGCTAACTAAAGATTGACACTAACAGATAAAGCTTAGCTTATACACATGTGTTTTTTGAGCAATAATAACACAACCATGTTATTGTTGATGTTTTGTGTTCTCATGTCAGTTAGGCCCCTCCCTGGGCTGCCACCTTACCGTGGTGGAGGGGTTTGAGTGTCCCAATGATCCTAGGAGCTATGCTGTCAGGGGCTTTATGCCCCTAGTAGGGTCACCCATGGCAGACAGGTCCTAGGTGAGGGACCAGACAAAGTGCAGCTCAAAGAACCCGATGATGACAAAAATAAATGGACCTAGTGTTCCCTTGCCCGGACGTGAGTCAACGGGGCCCCACTCTGGAGCCAGGCCTGGAGGTGGGACACGCGGGCGAGCGCCTGGTGGCCGGGCATTTACCCATGGAGCTCGGCTGGGCACAGCCCGAAGAGGAGACGTGGGTCCCCCTTCCCATGGGCTCACCACCTGTGGGAGGGGCCAAAGGGGTCGGGTGCAATGTGGGATGGGTGGTGGCCGAGGGCGGGGACCCTGGCGGTCTGATCCTCGGCTACAGAAGCTGGCTATTGGGACGTGGAATGTCACCTCACTGGTGGGGAAGGAGCCTGAGCTGGTGTGTGACGTTGAGAGGTTCCGGCTAGAGAAAGTCGGACTCACCTCTATGCATGGCTCGGGCTCTGGAACCAGTTTCCTTGAGTGGGGCTGGACACTCTTCCACTCTGGAGTTGCCCCTGGTGAGAGGCGCAGAGCAGGCGTGGGCGTACTTATTGCCCCCCAACTTGGTGCCTGTGTATTGGGGTTCACCCCAGTGAATGAGAGGGTGGCCTCCCTCCGCCTACGTGTGGGGGGACGGGTTCTGACTGTCGTTTGTGCTTATGCACTAAATGGCAGTTCAGATTATCCATCCTTTCTGGAGTCCTTGGAGGGGGTACTGGAAAGTGCACCTTCTGGGGACTCCCTTGTTCTGCTGGGGGACTTCAATGCTCATGTGGGCAATGACAGTGAGACCTGGAAGGGTGTGGTTGGGAGGAACGGCCCCCCTGATCTGATTGTTGGACTTCTGTGCTCGTCGTGGATTGTCAATAACGAACACCTTGTTCAAGCATAAGGGTGTCCATATGTGCTCTTGGCACCAGGACACCCTAGGCCGCAGTTCGATGATCGACTTTGTCATCGTCTCATCTGATCTGCGGCCACATGTCTTGGATACTCGTGTGAAGAGAGGGGCGGCGCTGTCAACTGATCACTACCTGGTGATGAGTTGGCTCCGATGGTGGGGGAGGATGCCGGTCAGACCTGGCAGACCCAAACGTATTGTGAGGGTTTGCTGGGAACGTCTGGCAGAGTCTCCTGTGAGACGGAGTTTCAACTCCCACCTCCGGGAGAACTTTGAACATGTTCCGAGGGAGGTGGGGGACATCGAGTCTGAGTGGACCATGTTTCGTGCCTCTATTGTCGAGGCGGCTTACCAGAGCTGCGGCCGCAAGGTTGTCGGTGCCTGTCGCGGCGGCAACCCTCGAACCCGATGGTGGACATCGTCGGTGAGGGATGCTGTCAAGCTGAAGAAGGAGTCCTATCGGGCATTTTTGGCCTGTGGGACCCCGGAAGCAGCTGATGGGTACCGGCAATCCAAGCGACATGCGGCTCGGGTGGTTGCTGAGGCAAAAACTCGGGCATGGGAGGAGTTCGGAGAGGCCATGGAGAACGACTTCCGCACGGCTTCGAGACAATTCTGGTCCACCATCCGGCATGTCAGGGGGGGAAAGTGGTACGCCACCAACACTGTTTATAGTGGGAGTGGTGTGCTGCTGACCTCAACTCGGGATGTTGTGGGTCGGTGGGCGGAATACTTTGAAGACCTCCTCAATCCCACCGGCACGTCTTCCACTGAGGAAGCGGAGCCTGGGGACTCTGGGTCGGGCCCTCCAATCTCTGGTGCTGAGGTCACCGAGGTGGTTAACAAGCTCCTCAGTGGCAGGGCCCCAGGGGTGGATGAGATTCGCCCAGAGTTCCTTAAGGCTCTGGATGTTGTAGGGTTCTGTTGACTTACGCGACTCTGCAATATTGCGTGGACATCGGGGGAAGTTCCCCTGGATTGGCAGACCGGGGTGGTGGTCCCCCTATTCAAAATGGGGGACCGTAGAGTGTGTTCCAACTACAGGGGAATCACGCTCTTAAGCCTCCCTGGTAAGGTCTATTCGGGGGTTCTGGAGAGGAGGGTCCGTCGGATAGTCGAACCTCGGATTCAGGAGGAGCAGTGCGGTTTTCGTCCTGGCCGTGGAACACTGGACCAGCTCTACACTCTCAGCAGGGTCCTGGAGGGTGCGTGGGAGTTTGCCCAACCAGTCTACATGTGCTTTGTGGACTTGGAGAAGGCGTTCGACTGCGTCCCTCGGGGGGCCCTGTGGGGGGTACTCTGGGAGTATGGGGTACCGGGCCCTTTGATACGGGCTGTTAGGTCCCTGTATGACCGGTGTCAGAGCCTGGTCCTCATCGTCGGCAGTAAGTGGGGCTTGTTCCCGGTGAGAGTTGGACTCCGCCAAGGTTGCCCTTTGTCACCGATTCTGTTCATAACTTTTATGGACAGAATTTCTAGGCGCAGCCAAGGTGTTGAGGGGATCCGTTTTGGTGGCCTTAGGATTGCGTCTCTGCTTTTTGCAGATGATGTGGTCTTATTGGCTTCATCAGATCGTGATCTACAGCTTTCGCTGGAGCGGCTTGCAGCCGAATGCGACGCGGCCGGGATGAAGATCAGTTCCTCCAAATCCGAGGCCATGGTCTTGAGCCGGAAAAGGGTAGAGTGCCCTCTCCGGGTCAGGGAGGAGGTCCTACCCCAAGTGGAGGAGTTCAAGTATCTTGGGGTCTTGTTCACGAATGAGGGAAAAATGGAGCGTGAGATCGATAGGCAGATAGGTGCAGCGTCTGCAGTGAAGCGGGTGCTGTACAGGTCTGTCGTGGTGAAGAGAGAGCTGAGTCAAAAGGCGAAGCTCTCAATTTACCGATCGATCTACGTTCCCACTCTCATCTATGGTCACGAGCTTTAGGTTGTGACCGAAAGAATGAGATCTCGGATACAAGCGGCCGAAATGAGTTTTTCTCCGCAGGGTGTCTGGGCTCTCCCTTAGAGACAGGGTGAGAAGCTCGATCATCCGGGAGGGACTCAGAGTAGAGCCGCTGCTTCTCCACGTCGAGAGGAGCCAGTTGAGGTGGCTTGGGCATCTGTTTAGGATGCCTTCTGGACGCCTCCCTGGTGAGGTGTTCCGGACACGTCCCACCGGAAGGAGGCCCAGAGGAAGACCCAGGACACGCTGGAGGGACTATGTTTCTCGGCTGGCCTGGGAACGCCTCGGGATTCCCCCGGAAGAGCTGGCCCAAGTGGCTGGGGAGAGGGAAGTCTGGGCCTCGGCTGCTACCCCCGCGACCCGACCCTGGATAAGCGGAAGAAAATGGATGGA